TACCCTTCCTTCCTTCCTTCTACTCTGGCCTTTCTGTGACTTCTCTCTCCTCTTAAGGAACCGGGACTGAAGGATTTAACTTTCCTAACCCCCTGCGATAGAGGCATTTCACCTAGACCAGCAATGACTCCGTTTCAATGTGACCTTTAGGACACTCCCACGCTGCGGGAGCTGAGACAGGTGTGGCGACGCCGGCCGCGCCAGCCGCCTGCTCCGTCTCCCATCTCCGGTCTCCTTGACTGTGTCTTGACACTGGGCACAGGTGGGGGAGTGGCACAGAGAGTGAAGAAGATGCAACGCAAGTAACCGCCCGTGCCCCACCCTGGTATGCAGCACACGGTGGATCTCGTCGGAGACGACGGTCGAACTGGCGTGTGGAGCACCTTCCCATGTAACCTCAGGATTTGTGTGCGCAGATAGAGCGAGGGTTCTGAACTGCGGTTCTCCACCCAAGATTTTCATGGAGGTCACAATCAGCCGAATATACCTATGTGAGGGATATTTGAGCAGGAAGTACGCGTTTATATCAGGATTCTAGACACTGGTTGGCCGGTCTTATTGCGGTGCACTCGAAAGTGACAGATAAAGCTGATTTGCGGTTCAAGTGTGTACTCGCAGGAGGGGGACAGGGAGGAATCGGCCTCACAGCGCTGGTTGCATGGACAATGGTGGTGATATTTTGCAAACAAGGTTGGAATATCTTCACTAGTGACGTAGTACACCAAAAAGGGGGGAAAGGGTTAAAATATTAGCGTGACTGCCAACCTACCTCCCATGGGGTTTAGGGGATTTGTCGTGGTATGGGAGTAATCGTAGGGTTCTGCGTAGGCCTGCAGGAGGAGTTCAATTCCCGCCACCCGGATGTTTGGAGGTATTTGGTTTCCGGTCCAGAGGTACATTTCCGATCCAAAGTCGAATACGAAAGCCTGTAAATACCAGTAAAGACTACAGGGCACAAATTTTACAAGAAAAAACAACGTATGCTATCAGAAGTAGATTGGAATAATTAACTTCAGCCCGTCCAAACTTCAAAGGGGCGAACATATTGCTCAGGTAGGTACTCTAGGTAAATGGCCTGTTTGAGGACACTAGTTTGCTCCCTGATAAAAAAAAGCTTCAGTAGAAGTTGGGAGGATCTTAAATGTGAGACTTCGTTCACAGACTGGAGATAGGCGTCCTAAGCATTCTATTGGCTGAGAGACGCATAGAGGTCAGACCGAGATTCTCCTTATTTTGAACAAATGGGAATTCGCCTTTCTGAAATCTTAACACTTGTTTTACCTAAGAAGTCAGTTCGGTCCTGTATTGATTTTCCGTTCCCCAGCGAATTTGCGACTTTCGGTGTAAGTTACCCTCGCCGCTAAGATCAGACCGTAGACCAAAACCCTATTTCGGTGTATATATGACGACAGGAGGAAAACACCTTGTCCATAAAGCGGAACACGAGCTCTGTACCTCACATCACAAAACCGCGATAAACAAAGAAGCCAGACAGTGTCTCATTTGTATCCACATCTATGCAGGCTGATGCACCAGGCTAGGGGAAAACAATTTTTTGCCTCTTGACGGGTTAGAGTGCAAACATGTGGGACATACAGCTAACATAGCGCTGTGTATATATTGTGCATTCTTAGCCAAAAAGCCGAAAACAGAATATTTATAATAGGAGCTGGGTCATATTTTTTGGTAACTCATGCTTGCTGGTTTGTTGTTTAGACGGGCTACAACAAATATGAAGTGGCCTATTTGAGAGATAAAAAACATCACTTTATGTCGTGTGGTTTGTTTCCAAGTAGACATTTGAGCGCACTTAAATTACTTACCCTGAAAAGTATACTCACACCCTGTGTTTACACGAAAAAACGAAAAGGTCGCCCACATCAACGTGTGAATTCTAACCTGCACGTGTTTCATCTTGTTGGGCATGCGAGCAAGATCTGTGAAGTTGACCGCCTGTCACAAATGATCGCATGTGACTTCTTTAGAATAGAGAGTTTGATGCAATGGAATTTAACTCATTTACAGGTAACTGAGTCCGACTAGGAGCATAGGACTTGTAGGGTCGTATTTGAAACGCCAGCAACCGGTAGGAATAAAAGAAGACCCAACATTGGGGCCGTCCTGGTGACCTGTTTCTCTTTTAATCTGAGACCAGTCTGAACAAGTAAATTTTGTCCACCACCAAGGAAGAAACGGCTGTTGGCTCCCATAAAAATCACAGTTCCTACAGTAGGTGGCATAGCCTCCGAAATAAGGACCAAAATTCTGAAATACGCTTCCACTTGGAAGGGCTTTTTTAGGTGGAAGTTGTAGTATCGACAGTCGTGTAGTATAATCTAAGGATGTTTCAACCAGACCACGATATTGGCTTTTGAAGGCGTGACTTTCCGGTCGCTTGTAGAAACAAGATTCATCACGATGTCTGCTTACGCAGCTTGTACGTTTTTTTCCATTAGTTCTTACGCCATCAGAAATCAGAAAATGTTCTGTAGAAGGTATGCACAAAATAATCCTACCCTTACTGAAAATTACGTACTCCGATAATTTCCAAATGAAGTTTTCGGTTAAAATTGTTTTTCTAATTATTATAATTTTAAGATTGTGAAAAGTCAATTCAAATAACAACGCATTAATCAGTTTTTTAATGCGGCTTATAAATATGCACTGCAAATCGTATGAGGCCTGTGTAACGGCTTAGCGGAGTGAATTAGTTTCCTTGCACGACGAATAAACAGCTGGTATTTTGGAAACTCTACATGCGAGTAAAACGGTAGACTGAGTTCAACATTACCAGGGAAGTGGAAAATTTGTCTGAAACCGAAAACAATCATTTCGTTGAGTAAAAAACTTCACGAAGACGTGATAAACTACATACTGCTTATAAGGATATGCTTCGTGTGATTTCTTATTGCTATATTTATTGATCTGCCTACACTTCTGGCCGCTTTACGGTTGCTGGCAGAGCTCGAGAATAAGCCTTAAGGCAGAACGGGGCAAATGAGTTAGGTTAGCGATCGATGAGTGTTCGTTAGCAAATGTCAATGCTCCCGCTGTAAAGCGGCAAGACAACGAGACCGTGACTCGGCTAGTACACCAACTAGGGTTGGACGTGACCGGCTGATAACGACTAATGAGCCAGGCATGGCCATTCCAGTGCCCCTTGTCGTTATTAGCAATGCTTATATTTGCATTTATTAGAACACTGGAAATCGATGCAAAAAGTGAAACGAACTAAACAGTCACTTTTTGCCAAGTTGGAGTTTTGCAGACTATCAGAAAGACGTGCATTCAAAAGCCGCATTTCCTGGCGTACAAAGTGAAGAATCTTTGAATGATGCGGCTTGATAATCAATTATACACTCTCATATAAATAATCCACTAAGAACGAAAACGAATTTCAGAATCTCTGTGCCCCACCTACTGTAAGCCCCCCC